CGTTCTGGATTCCACTGCTAGTCAGCATTCATCCCTATTTATAAAACTTGAGACTTAAGGCAATATCGAAGCAGTCCACATACGATGCACCTATATCAACAAGAGACTGATCAGCTGCAGTTCTAAACGACAATTGGAAAATACAAGCAAATAATATCAAGTGAATTTATTTTCTTTATTTCACTTGATATTGTAGTGTATGTGGCTAATAAGGTGCTATTGAAAGATATGTCATCAACAACTATAGTTTTTTGTATACTCCCACCTGAAAAGTATAACTGAAATAATCTTTTACAAAATATCTAGTCTTGACAATTTTTTTATTTTGACATTAATCAGTTTCATGGAGTATTTCAATCGTCGCCTATATCGACAATACAAGATGTTGAATGAATTGTTTCTGCTTCAGTGATTCCATCAAAAATTGATAAACAGTAAATCTATTCGGTAATGTATTAAAATGGTTTAAAAGTAGCTTTTCAAATATTTGTAAAGGTTTATATTTACTTGCGAAGAATTGTAACTGACCAGCCACTTTTGGCATATGTACATCTTCAGCAGATTGCCTGTATATTACTTTTTAATCGCAAGGTTTTAAAATGAAACATTTGTTCTAGATTCCACTTGTTGCTGGATTATTTACCTAAAGAAACATTATCAACAATAAGCTCTAAAACAGCTAAGAACAAATATATTGATTTATTCAGATAGTCTATTTTGAACTGTTCAATTTGAAGATGGTATTTTTCAACAGACTGATATCTACCGCAGTAACCAAATCTAAAATAAGAGGATAACTGAATATATGTCTTGTTTTAACTTAAGACTCTCCAATAGTGACAGTGAAGTATTTGTCTAAAGACTAGAAGGTTTTAAGTTTGATTCAATGTGAAGTTGTTGTTATATTTAGAAACGTATTGTGCTAAAACAAACAATGTTAATAATAGGATATACAGAAAATGAATATATATGATCAGGATTTTTCTAAAAGTTGCTACTTAATTAATTTATTGGGATTATTTATGATCAGAGAAACGGGTAACATAAAAAAGCGCAACTGTATTCTAAATATCAGAAGGGGTTTTATGGATATTATAGTGATTTTAATAGTTAAGATCATAAGTCAATTGAAGCTAGACAATCATGGGAAATCTGCAAGCACCGGACGGCCGTTTCGTCCTATTGTGAGACTCCTACGCTTCAAATAAATAAATATGCACCACTAATTCACCTCTAGGTTTTCCATGGTGGCTTAGCTTCAATTGACTCATGATCTCAACTATTAAAATTACCATAATATCCATAAAATCCCTTCTGTTACTAATCAACATATGCTCACTAGTGACTGGCTTCAAGATGTATTTCTTGGAGTTCTAGTGAGAAGTAGTGACCAGTGGAGTTCAATTGGGTCTGTTGTGAGATAGTAACTCACTAAAAACAATGTTGGATGTATCGCTCAGTTTCGTGAATCACTTGATGTTAGACGCTAACACCACTGGATGCCGGCTCAGTGGTCTAGTGGTCAAGCGTTCGCACGCGAGACCTAAGACCCTGGGTCCGAGTCCTGCGTGCGGGACCGTGGATAAGCACTGCTGAGGAGTCTCACAATAAGACGAAGTGGTCGTCAAGTGCTTCCAGGTTTTCAATGATGATCTAGCTTTAATTGACTCATGAATTCAACTATTAAAATAGAACAGCTTAGATTCAATTAAAATCATTATCCACATCTTAATTCATTAAGAAATACATTAACTGTCATACGACATTTTTTTATTTTATTATGATTCATTTGTGAAACTATAATTTATGGACGACCTTTGAGCGACACCGAAGTAACCTTGAGAGTGTCCACATAATAACCAGGATCAAATGAAGGTTATAAACCAATATGAAAAATTAGAATTATGATTTACAGTTTATGGTTAAGGTTGGAAATTAGATTTAGGATTTTCATCACGAACTGACATCAGCTATAATGCCAAAACTCTATCCGAATGAATGAGTGAAATTCGCGCCAAAATCCAAGATCTGTCATCTTATACCTGATTGGTTCGTCCATAAATTATAGTCTCCCTGATTCATTTTATTGAGTATCTTCATTCTTCAACTGATTAATAAATCGAAGTTACCGTTTTGAAATCAAGAAATTCTTTACAAAAATACATATTAGATTATTTGAAACAAATAATATAAGCCCAGACTGATGTTTATTTAATTGTCTAATAATGAATATCTCTAACCACTGGATCAACTGTGAATAACTTTCCTAAAATAAGTGAATTTGTACATAAAATTAAATTTAATAGTTGAAACTAATGAGTCATTTGAAGCTGACCATCATGGAAAACCTGGATAACACTGAAAGCAATAGTGGATGATGGCGCAATTTCGTGGATTGGTTGAAGTTAGACATTAACACCTTTGGATGCCGAATAATTGGTCTAGAGGTGAAGCGTTCGCGCATGAGCCCAACATGTTTTAAGTTCACATCTCGCGAGCCGGGATCGTGTATAGGTACTGCTGAGGAGTCCCACAATAGGACGAAACGCCCGTTCAGTGCTTGCAGATTTACCGTGGTGATCTAGCTTTAATTGGCTCATGAATTTATTTATCAAACTACTATAATATCCGTAAAACCACTCTCTGATTATAAAATTAAATAATTAACATAGCATAACAAAAGTGGGTTTAGTTATATTCGGGTATCTAGAAATTTATTTTTAAGCCAATTTATGAATGAAAATTCCAAGTATCATGTAAACCATGAGAGTTAAACGGACCGAATGTGAAATTATTGTAATAATCAGGGTTCAGAAAGTACTTTCTTGAGACCAGAGTTGATTAGGATTTTGGAATATTTTGCAACAAAATAAACTTCAGGTACATGATAGTATTTTTATTAAAATATTTATTTCAACAGTTGAGATCATGAGTCAATTGAAACTGGACCACCAGGGGAAACCTGAGCGGCCGTTTCGTCCCACTACAGGACTCCTCATCAGTGCTCATCCATGATCCAGCCTGGTGAGATTCGAACCCAGGACCTATCGGTCCCACGCGCGAACGCATAACCTCTAGACCACTGGGCCGATATCTGATGGTGTTAATGTCTATTTTCTGGGGTCCTTTATTCTGTCGTCATTTAGATCAGACAATGTTTTCGACGGGCTGTCCACTTGAGTGGCCCGAGATCTGACTCGAAGTAGATCGTATGAATGATTGTTATCGATTGATTGCTGTAGAAATGTATATGTCGTCTATCCTCGTATATAATCATCGACTTAAGTTGCGTTAGTCAATAAAGTAATTAAATAGGTCAAATAACGAGAATGAACTTTTGGCTACTTATATTTTGTATATGAAGTGAATGGAATAAAGCGAAGCGAAACGACACGCAGTGGACATGGGGGATAAGCCAACTCCATTTAACCGAGCGTTAATCGATATTCATAATCATACAATAATAGGCTACCGATGTGTGATGAATAGGATAAGAAGTGTACACCCATATACGCTCATATAAAAACAGTCAAGATTGATTAGCCAATAATTAACAATGTCAAAATATGGCTCAAGTAGAATGAATAGATTGACCTGTTCGAAAGCTGGAATAAGGTATAAGGGCATAACATAATAACTGACACTACATCTAACTCCAACTAATCCATGAAATTGAGGGACACATCCACCATTGTCTTAAGTGAGTTACTATTTCACAACTGAATTTACTCAGAGTAAGTCAACGATTATTCGTTGATCTTCAGAAATAACCCCAAAGGTGTTTATTATGATATACTTTACGAATACAATTTATCATTATTCTATTCACTAAGTAAGCAACTGAACAAATTAGTGTTCTCTTTTTCTTCAGACAGTAATGATAATTCATTAAATAAGACTATCATTATTTATTAGTTACTAAATAGTGCCAAGACTTACAGAAAATACTTAGCTTTTACGCTTCTTTCATTTTTGCATGATGTTTATTTCGAATTAAATCCTAAGATTTAACATTTGTCTTAAAATGTTACTTTCAATTCATTAAATTCAACAAAGACAACTAATAAACCGGAAGGCAGCATTTAAATCATAATCAATCGTTTTATAAAGAAAACCAAAACGATGAACCATTATAATAACGATCCATCTTAATTGTCTTTTATAATAAATAAGTATTAAAAAGCGTATGATTCATTTTTACACAATATATTCACGATCACAATTATACAAAATAACAAATAAGGGAACCATAGTTTCGATCTTCCTGTATAACAAACATAGACATAAAGCGTTTGTCTAAGTAGAAAAAAAACATTTCAAGTCATCTCATCAGTTTGTATGAAACTACTTTTATGAATCCCGTGTTCATCTTGTTGTGTTAATGATGTGTGGCAACTTGGACCGATGCATATATGTACCTGGTCCTACATTGTAGCTGACTAACTGACTGATGAAACTGATCTAATTCCAACACGTAGATTTATTTTATTCAGTAGCTTCCGTAAGTAATAGTATTGTGATGTGTGCTACTGATATCGACAAATATCAGTAGTATGTATCATCAATCGAAAGTGAAATACGTGGAGGCAGAAAGTTAAGAAGATCGAAAAAAGAGTGAACGAGAACAGAGAACAATTGATGTGGAAATGAAAGAACAATAAAGTCTAAGACGACTGATTGACATTTTTCAAATGAAGTATTTAGTGTATGGATCTCAGATTTTAACTAAGATGTCCAGTAATTTTGTGTTCAAATACATTCGATTATCCCGCACTTGTATGTTCTCGTTCATTATAGTATTAGTAAATACAGATTGTTAATAGGGGTCAGTAATATTCCGACAGTATTTAACAATAATAATAATAATAATAACAATCAAATTGTTACAAATGAAAACATGAAGTTTGTTTTTTCTATCTACCTGTATGTGTTTTGTACCTTTTTTTAAAAATATTCTATACAATTTACTAACCATAATCATTTTTCAATTGGATACCATTCAAAAAACTGATAGTGTTGCACTCACTTATTAATTACTATATGTTCAAAAGATTTCATATCATTTCAATCTGAGGAAAATAATTTTTGTTTTGTTTTGAGAAGAGCTAATAAGATCGACAACAACAAAATGAAGTTGATGCTGTTATTAGTTTTACTGATCTTTTTGAATATCGATTTATCAAAGTGAGCTGAGCATTGTTTTTTTTAATACTTTTCATTGAAATGGTTCAATCTTATAACTTGTTTAGTTGTTTCTTTTTCTAAAAACAAACAAACAAACAAACTATTGATTGAACACGTAAAAATGATTCTTGTTATGTAATTTTCGGTATTATTTTAAACTGTTGATGAACGTTTACAGCTACTCGTAGTGGAACCATAGAGTTATAACGTCTAAAGTTGACAGAAAAAAAGTAAAGTAAAGTTTTTAACTAAAGAACCATTGAATATCAGTTTGGAATAAATAAATAGCTCATTATAATATGAGCTGCAAGAATTCGATTCTAAACTCGGTCAAAAATAGGATCTTTTAATGTATCAAGTTGAACAGTAACATTTATCGACCTAATAATAATTTATAAACAGAAGATTTAGAAATGGAATTAATGGGCGATATAATTCATAAATTCAGACTTATTCGTTTCAATTGTATACTAATTGTAACCAGAATTCTACCGTACAATTTAATTAATTTCCAAGCAACATCTAGGTCAGCCCCGTTTTCAGAACTACCTATGTGTGAACGCAGTTGTTCCTAGAATCTGCTTTTGGCTTTCTCGTCACTTACTTCAATCCTAATGGGTCTTCTTAGGGTGGCTTTTCTGAGTTCAGTCAGGCGCAAGCGAATGTGTGCTCGTATTAGAGCATGATCATAGTCTAAACATGTACTCCGGAATGAGCGACAGTCTTCTATCGAGTCTCTCCGACGATGACTGATGGCAATATGGTCTATTTGAGTTTATCGTTGGTTTGGTGCAGGCGGTCGCCATGTTAGATGATGTCTCTCCTTATGCTTAAAATTGGTGCTTGCTAATAATGAATGATTGTCTGAGCACAGTTGCAGCAGGCGATCACCATTATCTGTTCGTTCAGCCGGGATAATGTAATACCCACATAAATGTCTTTCTGTCTGGTTTGAGCCACCTAGTTGGGCATTAAAGTCACCTGCTACGAGTACTATGGATATGAATACAGTGATCGTTTGTGCTGTAAGAGGTATGAGGGCGGTTATCACTTCCCGGTTGCTCACACCGTGGGATGGTTGTTCTGGAGGTACCTGAAGAAGAAATTAGAATAAAGGTGATCATAGTGACATGAGAGGGTGATCGCAGTGCCAAAGGGACAACTGCTTGAAGTCGGTCACACACAACTTTTTATATGAGTTATCTTCGTAATAGCTCCGTACTTGTCAAGTCGAGGTGTGCATTTTTAGGGCCGACCATTTTTAACTCCACCCTTTCCCATGGGAAGGCAGCATCACTATTATGCTGATTGTCTGAAGGGAACAATTTATTGTCGTCACACCTTTGTGCAATCAGCAGTACGACTTCTCCCTCGAACCTTGTGTTTGTTGCTTCTAATCTTACCGCTCTTCAACCGATCTGTCTGGCATGGTAGGACCTTGAGGAACGATTGTTTAAACCAGTATAGCTCCATCGGTTCATCAAGATAGGCAAGCCCGATCACCACGTCAATGTAGAAGCGACAGTCGAGGGAATAATTGTTGCAGACATGTAAGATTCTGTTTAACAGTGGTGTTCAAGACGTTATAAGGCGATTCAGATTGTGCATCTTGAAAAATTGGAAAATCAAATAATCCCATTTAGCAACTTATCACACAGAATAATAACAGTGCAAGCCTATTCACTATATCAAGCCTGAATATATGTTCGAAGATAAGAAAAACTTAGTGAATAGAACTAGCACCCCATTTCATAATCAATCAAATACTCTGATGCAAAATAAAAAATATAAAAACTGCATTCCCTGCGTTCAAAACTATACTTCGTTAAATCACTATATTTCTGTGGTATGGATCGAAACGTAATTGATTATGATTTCCCCACTAAAATTTGAACTCTGTTTAGAGCACATAGTTTACAATTTTTTACTCTCTAACTATCCTCAATTAGTTTACACGCTAAAAATTGGTCTTCAGCTGATCTGCAGCCATCACGTATTAGCTTATTATTAAGCTAGTCCATTGATAGGACTAAAAGATTTTGTATATATTACCATTTTGACTATCACGTTTTAGGTTTTGACGATGCTATAATTACTTACTTACTTACGCCTGTTACTCCTAATAGACCATAGGCCGCCGACCAGCATTCTCCAACCCACTCTGTCCTGGGCCTTTTCTAATTCCATCCAATTCTTGCTCGTTTTTCTCATGTCTATCTCCATTTCCCCGCGTAATGTGTTCTTTGGTCTTCCTCTTTTCCTTTGGCCTTCAGGATTTAATGTGAGGGCTTGTCTTGTGACGCAGTTGGGTGCTTTCCTCAATGTGTGTCCTATCCACTTCCAGCGCTTCTTCCTAATTTCTTCATCCGCTGTAATATGGTTTGTTCTTTCCCAGTTGGTTGTTGCTAATAGTGTTCGGCCAACGGATCCGAAGTATTTTGCGTAGACAATTGTTAATAAACACTTGTATCTTCTGGATGATGGCTTTCGTAGTTCTTCAAGTTTCTGTCCAATGCAGTAGAACTTCTTGACATTTGTATTGAAAATCCTGACCTTGGTGTTGGTTGATTGACAGTTGTTTTGAGTTCCAGATGTTCTTCAGTTGTAAATATGCTGCTCTTGCTTTACCGATCCGCGCTTTCATATCTGCATCAGACGCATCATGTTCATCAGTGATGCTGCCCAAGTATATAAAGGTTTTAACATCTTCCAAATCTTCTCCGCCAAGTGTGATTGGATTGCTGCATGCTGTGTTGTATCGGAGAATCTTACTTTTCTCTTTGTGTATGCTGAGACCTACTGCTGCTAAGGCTGCTGCTACACTGATCGTTTTCTCCTGCATTCGTTGTTGCGATTGCGATAGGAGGGCCAGATCATCTGTGAAGTCTAGATTTGACGATGCTACACGAGCTTTCAATAACTTTGTCTATTTCAGCATTCACCTGGACTAAAACCTTTGCTGTTCTTTCATATTTTATCCAACAAGATTCTAACTTTAAAGGTTCAAATCATGAATCAGTTGAAGCTAGACCACCATAGAAAACCTGAAAGCACTGGACGACCGTTCCGTCCTATTGTGGGACTCCTGAGCAGTGCACACCCACGACGGCCGTTCAGTGTTTCCACCTTTTCCATGGTGGTTTAGCTTCGATTGACTCATGATCTCAACCATTGAAATTATATACCTAATTATTATATGATTACATTGAGAATCAACAGTATATATGTAAATGCGTTTAACATTTTTCAACTCATATTCTCGTTATCATCATAATAATTTTTCTTTTTCCTTTTTATTTCAGACAAATTCCAACTCAATTACGTGATCAGTCTCATGAGGTAACCCAAAAACAAAATTAAATTCTACACATAATTTAATTTTTTTCTGTTTTTCTATTAAAAAACGAAATAGAATATGGATTGTGTAATGAAAACGATAAAGAGAATACAACAATTAATTATTCAGTCTTCTGGACAAAATCAAACTCTCACTGAGTCAATATTAGAAACAGATAACTTAGAACAAAAATTACACTTGCTTATAGCTACAGGTAAGTTACTTAACTTGGTTTTACCTTTTTTTCCTAGTTTTCTATGGTTGTTTATAAGAAATAATGTTAAATGAAAATATATTCAAAAAGTAAAAAAAACAGAACAAAACACGAAATTTGTTATGTCTAGAGCTTAGATTCCTAATATAACGAGTATAACTTGAGCAATCGAACGCTAGAACCCTCTCAAGTTGCATATGAAAAAAACAGGAGAAGACTGAAGAAAGTGCTTATTGGGCAAGAATCTAAATGTATAGAAAATCATGAGTAATTAAAGATATCAACATTTGTTTATTCAACATTATCATTCAACCAATCCACAAGGAGGTATATTATGCTACTGCCCATTAGTAGCACGTTGATATTCCAGAAAGCTCCACTACGTTCTGATTCGATTAAATGTTTTTACTCTTCTAGGGCCTCTGGAGGCCCCAACGTAGTTCTCGGGAGCTGTCCCAACCGTTCAGCGAATGGCCTTCTCTCTCTCTAAATATATATATATATATATATATATATATGTTAAAGTATTAATTCCGTGAGGAAATGCGAGCACGAATATCCAAGATAACGTAATAGAAAGATTGTAATGCTAGATTACGTGATACGAATAATAAGAATAGACTTAGTACGTTAGTAACGAATTATAACGCGCATGTAATAAGATGATTAAAATGTTTTTGTTACAATAATTAAAGGTCATTAAAGTTCATAGAAGTGTAGAAAATAAATAAAGTGATATGATGAGCACTTATGAATAAAATAATGAGAATATGAGACATGAGTAAAGGAGGGGTGCAGTAATAGTGATAATAATAATAATAATAATTTTTAATAGGTATCATTACCAAGGTTTGATTTGGTAATTTCGAATAAACTGAGAATTGGTTAGATTGTTATAAATAATTTAATATATTTGTAATATCCCAATAAGTAGAAAAAAATGAGATTTTCTGACGTTTCGTAACTCATTGTAAGCCACTTCTTCAGAGAATAAATAACGTTTGATCGCACATAGTATTCATGTTGTTCCGTTGTACTATTTAAACTTGAATTAATTTTGATTTGGTTATTTATTAAAGAAAAAATATTTTTTTTGTATATTTTCCAGCTATTGATATTATTGATAACCAAATAAATGGACCGAATTCTCCATGACGATGTAAAATCTGGCAGGCAGATAATGTTTTCTTTCTTTTATTGTCTGCATAAGTCATGAACAGATGAACTAATTTGAACTTTGGGAAAAAAGTTTATTTTTTTTTAATTTATAAAAAATAAGAAAATGAATTTCATTTATGATGATTATTAATAAAAGTTTTAGTTACATTGGTTTAGTTATACATGGTTCTATTTGCAAAGGGGGATTGAATAAGTTGTCATTGGGGGGATGTGTGTTTTTTTTCGCAATAAATAAGCCCTAAGTGAATCTCAACACAATCACTTTAAACGTTGCACCTCCAATTGAGCAAAGAGATTTATTTTTTAAATCTAACAAGGAAAAAGTAATACTTTAAGGGATCGTTATTACATGACTCACAATACATCGAAAAAACAACCATTTTTGGGATCAAATCCAAATAAATCAGTCGTATTAGTATGGGGTTGTAGAGATTATTAAATTTTTATTGAAATCATGAACCGATTATTGTTAGACCACCACTAGAAACTTGGAAGCAATGGACAACCGTTTCGTCCTATTGTACAGTATACAGTCGTAACATATCTATTCAGGACAACTGGAAACTTTAGGCAAATAGTTTCCAAGCATTATCTTGAAAATAGTTTATGAAATACCTAATGATTAAATTAGTTTATTGATAAAAAGTCTATTGATGTTCTCTTGATAATGAATGTTGTTCATTATTCAGCATTGTGGTTTTCGATGGCTTATTCGGTCTGAACATAGTTTCTACCACTAATGATTACTAACTGAAGAACTACCTGTCTTATTTTATTCAAATGAAAGTTCCCATTCAGACATTTCCCAGAAGTGTGAACAGAGCTAAGAAACTTTTCTTGAAGGTTCTACACTAATATTATATTTATCATTTGTAACAACAATTGAGTGATACTAATTGCGTAGAACTGCTACATAATAGTATTATAATTTTACTAGTGATTATAAAAACAATTGCTCGAAACTAACTAATCAATTGCACTAAGCAGGACGAGGTAATGTACAGTAGAATCAGCAAAATAATTTAACATTAAGCGACCTTAGTGGAAACTGCGTAAGGACAAGCATAAGAGTATTACAATCACCAAGATTTTGTTTGAATAGGAGAATGAAAGAAACCCAGAAATATGTAGAAAACTTGTGTTCAAACAAAGCCATGTTTTAAATAGTTTTGGTTTGTTTTGATGGTCAAGATGAGAAAGAACAACGGTTCCATTATATCACCACTACAATTCGGAAGCTTGAAAACTTCGAATTCATTAGAAACATTATGTTGTAAGAACGTTTTACAACGTTCTCAACAAAATCGATACAAAATTGGTTTTGAAATTCATGTGAAAGTTTATTAGAATATAGATCAGATTGTAATTCAATTAGAGAGTTAAATTTTATTTTATATGAGAAATAATTCATCTTCGTTCAATAGTTGTTTAGTGAGCAAGAACTGATTATTTTTTTATTCAGCTTAATTAATTAAAAATAGAACGTTACCTTAGTAGTATTCGTCAACGAAACTCAAATTCTGCACGCGTGATTCAAACCCAAGACCTTCAGTCCCTCACGAGAGCGCCTAGACTCTAGAACACTGAGCCGACATTCAACGGTGTGAACGTTTAACTTCTGTCGATCCATGAATGGCTACCCAATCATTCATCCATTGTCTGAGGTAGATACCTGTCTCTACCCTACACGGATTGAACTTCACTGGTCACGGTTCCTCACTAGAATATCAGGAAATTACATTGGAGTCAGTCACCAGTGAGCACATGATGCTTTCAAATATCCACGCGTATACAGCCACTACCAGGGAAGTTCTACTCACTGCGAGGATGTTATTTACGAAATTGAGAGGACAAAAAAAATTTTCGGCGCTTTAACCGGGTTGGTTGGTGGATATGGAGGATCCACCTAGGGGGAGTTGAAAAATCCTGATTCCAAACTAATGATGCACATGGGCTCCAGGATCCTGAAGGCACGAATGGCGTATGAACCAGTTGTTGGTCACAGGCTACCATGGGACTGCATCTCCTGACGATGCTCCTCTACCGTGTGGATTGGACATGTAGGTCAATGGCTACAGATGTAGCCTCCTAAGAAAACCACCTGCTTCGGTTTGGGCACCCTTGCAGTATCATAGTCCACACACCAATCAAGTGACTTGTGTGACGCCTACCTATTCGGTGCTCCTTTGTACCAATATTTATGTGTTCAAATAAATAAATAAATAACCATCAAAAACCATGAAACGTATCTTTTGTACATGTCAATTAATTTTATCTTAACAGTAAAAAAGTAATCGTTTGGTTGTTTATTGAGAAATCCTGGAACTCGATGAATTACATGTTTATAAATAAATAATATATTTGTAATATCCCAATGAGTAGAAAAATTAGATTTCCTGACGTTTAGTGACTTAGTGTAAGCCACTTCTTCAGAGAATAAATAAATCTAATTTTTCTACTCATTGATATATTACAAATATTTTATTTAATTATAACTATCTACCCAATGCTCAATTTATTCGAAATTATCAAGTCTAACCTTGGTAATGATGTGGTACGTGCTACTTATGTTGATATAAGTAGTATATGACGCGAGTCGAGAATGTAATGTCTGGCAGAAGAAGATGGGGAAGATCAAGAAAGGAAGAGCGGGAATAGAAAGCAATTAGTATGGAAATGCAAGAACAACGAAGTTCGAGACAATTATTGAACAATTTGCAAATTAAGTATTATAGTATGCTTTTTCTATTTTACCAAGTAACTGTAATTTTATGCTAAACATAATTCGGTTGTCTTCACATGTGTTCTCCTTCACTACAATGATACCTACAAAATACGTGTTTAGTTTACAGCTATTACTTAACTGAACAGCGAAATATATGTGACCAATCAAGAAAATTAATCCAGCAATTAAATGCCTAACCGATTACGTCATGATGGCGGCCTGTTTGAATATTCAGCTACCTGTTTCTGATATCAACATATCTCAACAAGTTACCTGTATTTTATTTGTTGTAACAAATCATTTTATCTATAAGTTACATAAAACCTATTTAGGCGTGTTTATGGAAAGTTTACGACCTTCTGCTGTACAAGTTACAAAAATTTACAATTGAAGCTATCGTGATGGCTAGGATCGTGCATTGAAAAGATCGACTATTATTCAAATGTCAATTCCTGAACTGCTAATATTTAACTGGTTATCAGGATAGATGAAGAAATAAGGAAAGGAAACTTGTTAAAATAATTTGTGCTGAGAATTCTATATTGTACCAAAAAATATAATATTGAATAAAGTCACTAGTAATAACAATAATAATCTTAGATCAAAATCCTGTTTTTCTGTTCTAGAAATTATTTTTACAAAGGCTATCGAAATTGTTTCTTCTTATTGAACATTCTCGAATTGATTTCTATGCTATAAATTTCTATTAGACTATACTGATATATGGTTTTATTAACAGATGATCAACTTCAAATTTGTAAATATTGTTAAATGCCATATGTAATTTTGATATTTAGATGAATCAGATTACATGGACTAAATAGCAAACTAAAACAATATAATGAATCCATGACACTGATATTGATAAGAGGAAACTTTGTTTAAGAATAGTTTGATCACAAATAATTTTGCATCTTTTTGAATAGGACTATTACATTACAAATTCATTCATACAATTTCCTTTACACTATACTTTAAACAAAGTAAGAAGTATTGGCTTAAATCTTAATGAATTCAAAGTCTTTGTACATCAAATTTAGATTGATTGAAGTCTATTATTTTAGGGCTGAAAGCTTTGATGTTGAGAATAGTAAGATACCAGCACAAAGTTTGTAGGGACTTTCGACTAGATAACTGATAAAATGAGTTCAAATGTCTTCAGAATCACTAATTATACATATTGAATATCTCTATCGCCCATATTTGTACATATTGCAACAGTAATTGACTAATTATTGTCATTGAACACTTTCATTAAACATTTGTTACATTAAAGACTGATAAGTTGTCTACTGGTTTTTTCTACGTTTCTCTACCGAATTTGAGCCAATTCTACATGAGAAACTAAAACGGCTACTTATAGTTAAGTACTATAATGTTTCAGAATAACAGATTTAGTCTCGTAATTTTTAAGTAAATTCCTGAGCTAACTAAAATCACTATTGTTTGTGGAGTATATGTTTCTAATGACTAGATCATAATAACTTTCGGAACTCACTTACATACATCACAATATACAGATGGTATAAACGAATTGACGAATTATGCCATTTCATTTGGCTTAATCATTCGTTTTAATCTATTGAATTAGGTTTAATATATTATTCATTAAAAAGAAGCTTTATGGATGAATTGAATAACTTCTGTACCAATATTATTATGATTGCTTTTTCGAATCCTCAAAATGGAACCAGCTAATTAGTTTATATCTATATTGAGTTATTGCAATGGTTCTTTACATATATGTTTACATATTATTAAGTTATTCTTATTAATAAACTTTGATTATGTGAAGGAAAAGTTAGTTTAAACTCTATTTTTAATAAACAATTTAACCGATGTAACATTAATGAGGTCATATTACAAAGTAACCGATTATTAAATTCATCTATTGAATAATATAAATCCCCCTTCCACCAAAAAACGTTTATGTTATACTGAACATTCAGCACTTTAAAGTAAACAAATTCTTATTACACTTATAGACATATATCAAATTATGTAGAATGATGAAATATTTAACGTTGGATAGGTCTAAATAATGGGGTCATTGACACAATATACTATTCTTGAATCACTATATAAGATAATGCACGAATATGTGAATTATTATAATTGAAATTGAATATCTTACATTAAAATGAAAGTGACGCCAATTATCTTCACTGTATTTTGTATTGTAGGTGCTACGACATTGATCAAGTGAGGATTTGTTTTGAAAGTCTATTTTAACAAATGTAGTGTTGAATGTTAATGTGAATTATAAGTTAAAAATTCAATTTTTCTTTATTTTACTAATATATTGGCTTGTTGAATAATTATTACATAACACCATCTGTCATAATTTAAAGATAAGTAATCACTTACTAAATTCTAAGTAATTGTTGTACACCAATCAACAGAGATCATCATCTAATTAGTATGTTTGTTTCAACATCCATACTATTGAATTAGGAAAGGCTTCAAAGCAGCTTCACATATAGATGTTTTCGTATTTTGGCGGGATTTTAGATGTATATTGGTTTAGTGACGTTTTTTTATCTAAATCTATTTATGTCTTATCTCCTACAGTAAGCAGGATGATATTCTTTCATATATTTTCCAAATGTTTTACTCTTAAAATCTCTTGATTTTTAATTGTTCAGATACGGTCAATAGACTGTTTTATATGAATAGCTGAAACTTTGCAAAAAGTAGTTATAATTTGAATTAGTTCTTATGCAGGTTTTTACAGAAGTTGTCTCTATTTTAAATAAATTAAGCTGGTGAGATTTCTTATATTGAAGTGATTGAATGAAAAGTTTTGATTTAAATCTCCTGAGGTTCTGAATCTTCAGAGAAATGGTTAACATGATACTAACATATTCGTTCAAGACGTTGTAATTAACTGATACGTAGTTAAAGGACGTCCGGGTATAAATGCAAAAATTGTACATAATAACTGTAAAAAAATACATTAGATTGGTCAGTTTTGTTAGAGAAGTTAATCATCCAGAATATTTGGGATGATTGACAAACATGTCCATCAGCAGTCCCATCAGAAGGTTGTTTTTGACTAGAGTTCGCTTTTCAACGTAATTTACTTTCAATGTTTCTTAAAATAACCTAATAAGAAATAAGTATGGATTGCCTACTTCTTCATAATCAACTGTTTTTTCTAATCTCTTTTAGAGCTACAACGTTAGAGCATGTACCTCACCCGAGTGAAAAAGACATGGAATTAGTGTATATTGATGAAGAATATCAAAAAGAAGGTGGACTGGTACTTATTCTGATTTCATAATTTTTGATATCTATTATATCTCTAAAGAGATCAATATGCAACGAACTAAAAAAATCCTTCCAAAAAGGGCGACACCACATATATAAAGTTATTGATAAATATATAAGGAAGGATGATTTAGGCTTAAAAATGTTAGAAGTTGCCAAAATCCGTAAGTTCACGTACACATTCATTATCTTCCTTAGTTGGAAAACGCATTGAAAAACGTATGAAATACATATCGATGAAACTGGATGAGATGATGGCCTATGAATCATCTTAGGCATATTTCATAACACGATGGTTAGTAATGTTGTGGATTTCAGACATTGTTTTTCTCTGCTTTTTGTTTACCACTTTCTTAACGAATTTGAGCAAATAATAAAGATTAATGAAAACGCTTTGTTTTGTGTTATATGCACTTGCGATAAAACACAGAGACTATTGATAAAGATAACACTGAATACAAAATAGGAAATGCAGTACATCAGAATAATTAGCCCCACAAACTTTCATTGTTCCCAGTCGGATACTTTCATGAGGAACGAGGTTTACAGAGGTATTAAATACGTAGAAAGATGTAGATTGTTTTACAACTTTAATTTACATGCTTCTTGTATGGTCCATGTAATACAAGTGTGTCTCCGTATCAATTAAGGAAAAGGAAAAGAGCTTATAAACACGTAGAGACCTGAAAATAATAGGAAAGTGACATTAAGTTAATAAAACTAAGAACTTTGAGTTATACCAGATCTACTAGACCAGACTGCAACTGTCTAAAACGTTTGGGGGAACAGAGAAACATTTTAAACGTCTAGATTATCGATATCGTGGCTTCGTAGATTTAATCAAAGTGGTTTATGTTGTTGCGTCTCAGCAAGGAGAATAATTTATAATCAAGTTGGACACATTTAGTATATTTATCCCTAGTCATATACACATATCAGATCCAATAAGAAGCTTTTGTTGTTTAAATGGTAAGCATGGTCTTGATCGAATGTAAGGACCGTTTCTCAATGCGTGCCTACTTATCTCCGCCTGTTACGCCTCGTGATACATAGATAGCAAACTAGGAATTTTCCCCCAGATACAAATTTTTTCAAGGAAAGAAGCAGTAAGTTTGCCAATTTAATCAAAACATTTATATACTTAGTCGCAATAAGTTTAAGTTATCGAATAGCCTATTTTTGATATGTAGAATGATACTTTAGAAGAAAAGAATATTCTGTTTTGAGCAAAAACCTGATCGAATTCAATAGTATTTAATTAGGATTAAATGAATCAAAGTATAGAGCTGGATGAAAATATTGGGAAAAAAATATGCTGACGTTGCTAATGAAGTGTTTGATAAATTCCATCCAAATGTCAGTGGATAGGAAACTACTGTCGATAGGGAAATTTATAAACTTCTACTTAATCAACCATTTAGACTGTTTGAATCACCATGTTTAGAGAATCGAAAAATCTTTCTCATAGTACAGAGACGGAAAAACTAGAAGTTTGCTTAGATTTATTGAGCACAACATCGGATAAACTTGTTTCGGGAGAATCTAGGATGAAAATTTAAAACTACTTGTGAAATTTTCAGAGATAACTGTTAAGTTCATGATGAAAATCGAACTACTTGACCCTGATGGTTACAGCTTCTTCACTATGACCCTCACAGTCCCAATATGTCAGTCTTAAACGTTCCGTTTGTGTCATCTTCGAGCCACTAGTTTAGTGATCATTGAGTATGTTTTGTGCACACGAACAAGTCCTAAACATTCTCTAACATTCAACAATAATTACTTCCTAAATTTAAATCCCCTATTTTTCTGTATTCTCTGACTTGTCTAGATAGTTCTGACCATTAATAGGTAACATTTTGTTTCATAGTCTCTGTTTCCATACAGAGTATTGCTCATCAACTCCTGAAAATATGAAACTCGAAACAAATATTATCTCAGATTTCGTAAAAAATGAATTTCCCAATTTATCAGACCAATAAAAGAACTAGTATAAATTTCTTGATAAACATGTCAGAAATGGAGATTCAAAAATGAAAATGTTAGAAGTTGACGATATCTGTAAGTTAATGCATTCATTCATTTCATTCCTGACTTGAAAAATGAATTAAATGACTTTTCAATGCTTTGTCCGTCAAACTAGACATTAGGTTAGATGGCTAGTGGCTAGCAGTGGAACCAGGACGCGCGTTTCATCCCATTTAGGACTATCAGGACTCATTATCAAAGTCAATAACGCGATGGCGTCTGAAGCGGATGGTACTGAGTTCGAGTCCCGGGGTGAATATCAACGATTTTTTCACCAAGTTCATTTTCAAAGTTGCACAATCACGTATATGCGAAATAAATTACGGGTCAATAAATAAATTGATTTAATAGTTATGCTCATGAGTCGATTTCCATGGAAAACATGGAAACACTGGAAGGCTGTTCTGTCCCATTGTTGAACGCCTTAGTAGTGTGTACCCACGACCCCACCGCTCGGGATTCGAACCCAGGACTAATCAGTCTCGCGCGCGAGCGCTCAACCTCTAGACCACCGAGGTGGCATCGAAAGGTGTTAGTGTCTAACTTCAAACAATCCACGAAATTGTCCGTTAGAATTCTATGAGTTGTTACATGATATTTCACAACACCATTTAAAATAAACAAATAGTAATTGAAGTAGTAAATTTACGAAACATGGAAAATATACAACAAATAGGTGACAAGTTGCTAGGGCTGAAGCTATCACAAGTTCACTTAATCTGCGAACGAGAAACAAGACTCAGTGACCAAAGACCAGTAAACTAGCTATTGATGAGTCCCAGTCCCGCTAACTAGAGGGAGAAGTCCAAACATGGAATGGGAAGTTTATTCTGAAAAACAGTCAGAAACGAGCGATAACAACAAACACAATTCAAAACGTATATATACAGTACAAAGCCGTCGTTGGGGAGAGCTACCAAATAGCATACTGAAAAGACGCAACGGACCAAGAACATTTAAGATATTTCCCAGTGGGAAATACGACATGAAGGTGACAAGAGCGCCTTTGGCGCGAAAACAAAGAACTTCAAATTTTCTAAATAAAATTACAAAATTAGGTCCTTTCTCAAGTGCATTCTGGGGATCTAACGTCCCTGACAAAAGTTAAGTAGTTAAATGGGTATAAAAAATGATAATGGTAATCAAGAAAACGTGACTAGAATTAATCTTTGTTGTAAGAATAATAATAGGAATAGGAAATCACAGTAATTTAGGATAGTTTTATAAACACAGTTAAGGTGGAGGAAATGATAAAAAGAGGAAACAAATAAATAAACTAAATAAAATCACAATCTATGGTCATAGTTAAGAGACTGATCCTACAGATTGTTCTTTCAGTAATTATTTCCCTAAATTAATCATTAAACATGAGTATTTGATTTGTAAAGTCAACAATAAAATACGTGAATATAGTTTTACAATTGAAGAAGTTCTAGAGAACATTCAACAAATAAATAACAACACCAAATAACTGAAAATATTATTTAAAATTTGATTAATGTGCTTGAATATTTCTTCGAAAAACAAATAAGTGAGAAAATCCCATTTTCCTGAATTAATACCAAACGGTGATATTATTCGAGGTTGTTATTTATCAGTTCGATTGGACATGTTATTTAAATGAATAGTTTCTCTTCTTATTTTGAGTCAACAGCGTACATGATGTTCCGAAATTCTTTATTGATTAATGGTAAAACTGACTGGTATATCACTAGGAGAATCAAGGATAGGTGTGTAAATGTAAAAGCCGATAAAATGTACTACATATAGTATATAAGCGATGAAAATGTTACAAACATGCTAGTGCTTTCATACTAACAAAACCAACTTTCTCGTATATGGTTCACATGTTAAGTAGTATGATATTATGTGGAAAATTGAACCTAATTTCATACATGTTTACATAAGTTTACAAAACTCTTGGTTTTACATCATTCGTATAATTCGTTTTAACTAGTAAGTTCACTAAATGTTTTGTAGTAGTCCGCTTTTTGCAACATGTGTATGTACAATATGTGTGAATACTTTTATTTTACGACTATTCTTAAAAGTATATAGAAATTATTTGCAAAAAAATAATGGAAAGAATAATACTAGCGATGTTTATTTTATTTATTTAAACACATAAACATTGGTACAGGGAGGCACTAAACAGATATGCCCCACATAAATCATTCGATTTGTGTGAGGGTTGGGATACAGCCCGGGTGCCCAAACCGAATCCATCCAAACACATGTTCCCTAAACTAGTTATTGAGTTTCCGATATTAATATTTCCGTTTCATTCTGTTCAACGGTAAGCTTTATTTAAAGTGAAAATCACGTTTTAAAATATTTCAAATTATTGAATTCTTCTCAATTTTTAGTATCTAATGTCATCCAATCTTTAATCATTTCAAAAAATGTACCGATATTTTATCAGGTATATTAACGAATACCTTTAATGAATCCTTCAACATGAATTTTATATCAGGAGTTTGCGATAAAAATAAACTAATTTGAATACCGAAAAATGTGTCTAATGATATTAAGTACAATTTCGACCCATAACAATCTTGCCTTAAAACGATAGTTAAACCACTAATTTAGCTTGTATTACATGACAATATTGATTTAAATCAGTATGCTTTCAAACATGCAAGAAGTACTTTTGAAGTTGTATTTGTCTTAAATAATGATACGGGGTTTAGTTTATCAAAACGTGTTAGGTATGTTCAATACATTTCAATTTGATTACGTTCCATGTTGTCCCCTGTGTAACAAATTTGCAGTGAAAAGTTTTACAAATCTTGAATAACAAACAGATTACTTTGTAAGCTTTGTGGTAGAGAATTGAAAATGATGTCTAAAGAGGTGTAAACACTTAATTACCCTCAAACGATTAATATAACTGCACATTTTTACAGTCATAAATCCCAATTCACATATGAGATAAAATTACAATATCAATAGTATTTCACATTCATCTTTACAGAAATTATAGTAAACTATATTTTTAAACTCCTTTATTCATTTACATAAAGAATCATATCTAATATTGCATTACAGTTATATTGAATTTGTCACGTATAGGCTTCTTTCAATCATTTATCTTATATGGACATAGTTAATTGAGTAATCAAGAACTATCTTTTAGATAAAATAATATTTAATGAAAATAATCTTTAATAACATTACATCAATAACAATCATGAATTAGAATGATTCTCAATCCATCTGTTAAATAAGAATATCTATCAATCAGTTTATAAATTACAATTATTACTATTAGTAGTAGTAGTAGTAGTAGCAGTAGTAGTAGTAATGATGATATATTTGTAAGATCAATAAAACATTTATGTATCCTGTAATGCTTTCAGATTGTTGAATGCAAAGATATATATATATATACTCCCTTAATAAGGCAATGAAACTTTATGTTGCTATGATGTTTCATATGCTAACATTTCTTTCAATTTCTGTGCTAGATAATCCGCTCGTTTTTCAATACGTCTGCTAACTAAAAAAAAAATACATGAATTGATCATATTTAATTTATATATGAACCATAACTTACGGATTTTAGCAACTTCAAGCATTTTCTTGTCTAAATCATCTTTTCTCAAATAAGTATCGAATGTTTTGTACATTTTCATACGTCCATTTTTAAAGGATTTCTTTAGAACTTTATATATTGCTTTCTTAAAAGTAACATTGAATTATTAATTATATTTATGTAGAAGAAAGTAGTTACCATTCCATGTTTTGAGTCGACATTTTCATCATTCACATTCTCATCTTCACTATCACTTTTCTTTTTATTGTTATCCTTATTTTTCTTTTTCTCTTTGACTTTATGCTTTTCCCCTACATTTTCATGTGCTTCTTCATTCTTTTCTTTGGTTTTATCATCTTTCCCGTTTTTCTCTTCAGTTTCATCTTCATGCTCATTTTCGTTTTCATCTTTATCTTCTTCCTTGTTTTTTGAGTGATCCATATCTTCATCGTCCCCTTCTTCAGTATGGTGTGCTTTACTAGAAAATACAATGAAATCTTTTTGATTGTGAATAATTCATAATACACACATATATTGTTTTCAATCTTAAAGTAGTCAATGAAAATTCTGTACATAATTTCATCTTCATTCAGAATATATTGATATTTGTTAGATACAAGCAAGTAATTAGATAAACACGAGTATTCGATAACTGCATATAAAATAAACTTTCAATTATATGTATATATATAGAATTATTAAATTAAATAGTTGAGATGATGATTCGATTGAAGCTAGACCACCATGGAAAACCTGAAAGCATTGGACGGCTGTTTCATTCTGTTGTGGGACTTCTCAATGCTTCCAGATTTTCCATGGTGGTCTAGCTTTAATTGACTCATCACCTTAACTATTAAAATTATTATAATATCCACAAGACCCCTTCAGATAATGAAATTCTTAATTTATAATTTACATGATTTTATTAGTAAGTTTTTCGAGAAATCCTATCCATTTATTGTTGTTAAACACGATAGTGTACCAATCGTTTGTTGTATATTTACTTTCTTTTCAATTAAACACACACTATGACAATGGTTTTGAGCTAGTCATAGTTATGGATACAAAATTTTATAAGAAAGTGAAAAGATTAAAATGAATTGTATTGAATATAAATGAAAGAACGTAATAATGGAACAAACATTACAGTAAGTACATTTTTTAATTGATAGTTACTGTTTCAATGGTTAAGATCATGAGTCAGTTGAAGCTAGATAACCATGGAAAACCTAAAAGCACTGGACGGCCGTTTCGTCCCACCGTGGGACTCCTCAACAGGGAGCATCCACGACCCCGTCCTCTGCGAGATTCGAACCCAGGACCTACTGGTTTCGCGCGCGAGCACTTAACCCCTAGACCAATTGGATGGCCGGCATCCAACAGTGTTAATGTCTAACTTCAACTAGTCCACGAAATTGAGCGATACATCCACCATTGTCTTCAGTGAGCTACTATCTCACAACAGACCTGGTTGAACTCCACTGGTCACTACTTCTCACTAGAACTGTTTCGTAGGTTGGGTAACATCAATTATGTAAATATTGCTTTCGTTAATCTATTTACTGACAGTTCATAAAATTATTGTGTATCATCACCGATTTTCAATATAATGAAGAATGTTTTTGAATTCAGCTTTGTTATAAAATATTTTACTGAAATCTTCATCAGTGTATGAAAGAAGTCACACGTAAATAATATTATGAGTGATAATATAGTAGCTTATGTACAGTTGAGTTTGTTCACATTTAATTTGATTAAACCCTTTTGTTAATTTATTTATCGAACAGAGTTATTCTTACAATAACAACTTATCTGTACCATTGTATATTTCTTATTGTTGAACTTGTATGAATATGTATGCTTGACTATTACTTAGTACCTACGCATATATTCATTCTGATAGCCTGACTATTAGTCGCTTAATTGATTCGATGATTCATTTATCCCACCATGTATATATTTATGTACATTTTAATCCTGTTCACTCTCACTAATTCGACTCACTCGCTCACTCGCTTGTCCGATTGCTTTTCGGCACTACTCTTTGCTTAGAGCATCTGTAATTTTGATCTGTGCGTGGGGTAATAATAAACGTGATCAACACTTCGTATTCGCCTTCTGATTAATACACCGTTGTGATGTTATCTAGTGACTATTATCAGGACGAACTGTATACGAAGTTTAAGCATTATATTGAATACCTACCATAACAACAATTAAATTATTTTTAATATGTATCAATATCAAGGTTAGACTTTATAGTTTTAAATAAATTGAGCATTGAGTAAAGAGTTAATAATAAATATGTTTTTTTTTATATTCCAGTCAGTAGAAAAATTGTAGCTCCAACGTTTTGTGACTTAATTTAGGCTACTTCATCAGAGTAAATAAATAACTGATATGTCCGTTATTATTACTATATTCATTACATTAATAACACAAAATTGATAGTTATTAACTCACCTTATGAATGTTGAATAAGTCAATAACACAAAAGTTACGCATAGTAACATAATAAACTTCATCTTAACTAGAGAGAATGAGATTGTAATATGGCTTAAATATCATTAAAATGTTGTATTATATAGTGGCTATAAAATAATGTTGTCCTTTATTTCATTCAAATCATAAATTTATCCTTCATTTTTTTTCGAATTCATTTACTAATACTTGTCCACATATAATGAAAGTTCTAGGACATGTATCTGTAACTATGGTATAGTTGTGGAATTTCAAATTATTATTTGAAGATATGACCTTATCACATCCGAACTGTTTGATTGTTTACATTTCATCATTATTATTATTTATTTTTGTTTAAACTAATGCGTGAAATTCATTAATGAGTGTATTTTAAAAAATGTAGGCTTTTATGTACTAAAGGATACAAAAAAGAATATAAACATTTATGCATGTAATTTAGAATATTTTGGGAAAAATGTGGTAAGGTATAAAAGTTATCTTATACGTAACTTATCAAATACACAGATTTATATCCATAGTGATATTATAAATGGGATAGAAATTCATCAACCGCCAACTTCAAATTTCTCAACGACATCAACTTCAGTGTTAACTTATCACTATCAATTAATATCAGACAATTATAACGCTAATACATTCATAATGTCGAGTATTTCAAAATGTGAATTAATTGATGAAGGGTTGTAGCACCGATGGCAGTACATTTAGTCAACTAATGATACAAAAACCGAAACGAGTATTCTAAATTCTCGTATTCATCATCACCAAACATCTTCAATGTTCTATGTTTAGATTCTGAAGAATTCAGTAGAATACTACTGCTTCCTTTGATCATATCTCTCAAATTCACATTGATTTATCAGTTAGCCTCTCCGAACTATCTAAAATGAGACGAAGAGAGAGCAAGCGAGCGGGAGAGAGTAGATTTCACTTAAAACAGACATGAATATGATGAGTTAGCAGAAACTAAGTTCAGTGAAAGTTTATATTCTGAATAGAATTGATGGTTCAGTGAACCAGTTAAAACTACCTTTTCCTGATGAATCTACATACTCCAAATTGTTGCTTTGTTTACTGCACAATGGAAACGTCAGTAAGAGTAATTAATTATATGTATATATTGTCTCCTAAAGTATGAAAGTTACACATTCATACATTCGAAGTATTATCAGATAATAATTCAAATATATTGGTTGTTTGTATCTTCCCATTAATGTTTAGGACTGGAATTGATCAATTTTTTTATGATATGTGCACGTGTGAGGATTGTCTTGATATTGTTAACAGATTACAAGCATTTAAGGCAGAGACGGATGGTGGCTTGCAGTGGAATCCAGGACGCACACCTCGTGTTGTTTGGGACGCATCAGCTGGATGTGCCTGCATTTTGGACTCCCTAATACAAAGAGACGCTCATCCTGGATTCCACAATCAGCTATAATCCATTCCTGTTTTTAAAATATCATCAAACAGCTTTTGAAGTTAGTAATAACACTGTTAATGCAATGTTACACATTCCTTGTCTCATTATCATAAAGCTAACCAATTTATCCTATCATAGTAGTTGGGCACCAACTTATTGTAAAACATGAAAGCGGATAATTTCATTTTTTAAATTTCAACGACTGAACTTTAACTAAATCCAACGTTTCGTACAGCAATGTGGTCCAGGTTTTTCCAAGGTATTTCATTTTAGCATATGTTAAAAATCCATTCTGAAAATCAATAGGGAAATAGTGTATTTCTGTTTCCATTTGAATAGCATCCAGATCTCAAATAGTCATTTTAAGAAACTGAAACTTGTGAACATTACAACTGTCTCAGTGTAAACGTAAAGTTCTTCATTCGAATTAAGATGATTCAAATTCTTAAGGAAAACAAACATTTATTGCTTAAGTGAAATAGGCTCAGAACCAAAAAGCTCTTTGATTATAGAAACTATGTGCATAACACCAGTTTGTATATTTTCAGAACTTTTTTTCTGAATATGTTGAAGAAAACGTATAAAAATATCATCAAAGTTCACATACTCCAGTTTATTTTAGTTAAATTGTCCAAGAACAGTGATATATTATTAGAAGGGTCTGATTTATTCTCTTGCTAGTATTGGGGACTGAATTTCGACCAATCGTGGTTGGGATGTATGTTTCCAGTGTGGATCACCGTGAAAATACAAATATGTCACTAGTTATTTAGAACAAATAGACTATGAATAGAAATGAAATCCAGGATAGATGCTTTGTCCAATTTGGGACTTGTTTTGTGGATGTGCCTTCGTCCAAGTGTAATATTCATATCAAGACTATAACTCATTAACTTACGTTTAAAACTTTCAACAAGTTTTCATCTGAATTACTGGGTCCAGATAACCACTAACTTTTCCAGCATTTCTAATGTTTATATCACTAGTAGTAGAGATATGAATCATCCCGTTGTCAACATTAGTGGCTGTAAATATGTCAAAAAGGCCTGACCAAAACTCAGTTCAGTAAGAAAATATTGTGATTATACTTGTGCTGGTTTTACGAGAAACGGAAAATCGATGAGTGAGTGGAACAAAATGGATTTTCATAAATGATTGTGCTGTCGTTATGAAATAGCTCTGAACATCACAGCACAATTGATGTAGTACAGAACATCGTATGTAAGTAAAGAAAGACTTCTGATAATTACCTTTAAATCAGGAAGATTACAGAATGGTTACCGATTAGTCCACTCCTCTGAAATTTGAACTGAAATTAACTAAACAAGTTATTTTAATATATTTCAAACTGATGATGCCGAATCTTTACGAAGTAATGATAAAATGGATCATTTTAGTTAAATAAGTCAATTTTTATCATTTCAGTTTATTTAAAAATAAACTATTTCTTATTGCTTGTAGAATGGCACTGCAAACTAAATTCTATAAAGTACTAAATTATTATCAGTATGAGATAAAGGAAATTATAACGTTTTTGATTGCGATCATGAACCGATTGATGTTAAACCACCATTACAAACCTGGAAGCACTGGACGGCCACTTCGTCCTATTTTGGGACTCCTTAACAATGTGCATCCATGATTCTGCTCACGGAACTCGAACCCAGGGCCTTCGGTCTAATGCGCGAACAATTAACCTATTGGACCACTGAGCCGGAATCGATTGGTGTTAATGTCTAACCTCAACCAATCCACGGAATTGCTTGACCATCTTCCATTGTACTGAGGTAGATACCTATCTCTACATGACACGGATTAGCTCCACTGGTCACGGCTTCTCACTGGAACTCCGAGAATTCCCTCATGAATCTAGTCAATGGCCTAGAGGTTAAGCGTTCGCGTGCAAGGCCGAAGACCCTAGGTTTGAATCCCGCGAGCAGAATCATAGACGCACATTGCTGAGGAGTCCCACAATAGGACGAAACAGCCGTCCAGTGCTTCCAGAGTTATAATGGTGGTCTAACGTCAATCGGTTCATGATTTCAATTAGATACTAAATTGTTATTTACATTGACCATAAAAAGTGGCTTACACTAAATCATGACACATCAGAGATTTTATTTTCTATCTTTTAGGATATTATGAATACATCTTAATATTTATTGTAAGCAATCTATCCAATACTTAATTTATGTGAAATTATCAAGTTGAACCTTCATAATGACCATAGTAAACGTTGATTACTGTTATAGTCCAAGTCAATTGTTAAACTTAAGTTTATAAATTCTTATCAGTTACTAAATTTAAAAATGACATGTTAATCAAATATTAAGTCAATTACATTGACTCAGCTAATTGACGGAATGCATTAATGAATGATGGCAACTAAATCAGTATCATGAATTTTCCACTAATTTAATAATTATCGTTTTATGAATGGAATGTCACTTGTTCATCTTAAGTAATTAACCGAGATCAAATAACTTAAGTTTGGATAATAAAATATTAAAATATTTATGGGTTGTCTTTTTTTTACAAACAATCACCATGATTTATGTGAGTGGTATCATAAAGAAATTTAGCACCAAGTAGTTAGAAAAAGTAGGCATTAATTGTATTCCAAATCAGTAAGTGAAAGTTGTAAAAATATCATCTAGGTTTAATGATGAAACTATATTTTAGCTTCACAATTATATCTTGCTTCATTTTGTAATATAACTAAACTTGTAAGCTGATGGTTAAAAGTAGTCGACAGGAAAACATGGATCTCAGTTTCGCGCTTTTTGGCACTCGTCAGTAAGATGTTTCTGCAATCTAGGTGGAACGGATTCTCCCTGGTAGATGCGATTCCGTGTTTCTGATTGTGAAGCTGGATCCATTATAATGTCGAGTCACTAAAACTAGTGGTCTGACTGCTGCATGATTAATAGAATTCGATCGATACTAAGATTAACATGACAAACATGACATTGGTCACTACATAATGAATAGTCAATTGTAAATATATTTAAATATAAATGCAATGAGTCTTTTCACAAAAAGTGTCCATCGCTAGTTGAATTCCTCTTCTTGGAGTTATGAACTTATTCAAAAGCGGAAGTCCTTTTTAATTATCAAGTTAATAGTGAAAAATATTATTAATTCAGTAAAAAGATACTAATAATTTGATATGACCTTGTGGTTTGCTATACTTGAATCAACAATCCTAATCCCTCAAATAAATGATCTGACAGATTTCTTGTCCAAAACCGCAATCATAAGACAAGAATGAAACGGTTGATCTAACTTATGTATAATTGATCCAAAAATTCATATGATTAGATTCGTGAATCACAGGACTACAACGTCTGATAAATAAGAAATTACAATATATGCCAAGTTAGCGCATTTAGGATACAAGTCAGAATATTAGGCTTATAATACATTTTTAGTAATTTGAGAATGGGAAAAGACATGACAACAGTTAATAAATCATACGAAAGCATCTGACTAACAAACTTAACAAATCACAAATAAACTAATTGTTTAGAAAACAAACATTGAGAAGTATAAATACTGATGTTTAAATAAATCGCTTTCAAAATGAATCTTTCTCTTTCATAAGTAACAAAAACAAAATGATAAAGATTAAACTTTTACGACCTCAAATTAATTGATTTTTTTACTAAAAATAGTTTTAGGTGAACTCGAGTGCTGGTTATATTGATATTCACGGTAACATGTGTGGATTAGGCTCTTACGTATTCAGAAGCACTACTACTGTGGCGTATGCTACTTATGTCGACGGATACAAGTAGTATATAACATCAGTC